GCATCTAAATCCAACCCTAAATACTCAAATGCTGAGACTCTGGATTTTCTCATAAGTGCCCCAATAGGAATAATGAATCACATTCATTCACATGCTGTTCAAATATTTTAGAAGGAAATAAGCAAAGATTATGAGAAGAGGAGGTAAAATGAGAGAGAGAGAGAGAGAAGCTTGCAGGGGAAAGAAAGAAAATGAGGTGAAATGAATTATCAGGAATTTTTAACAAACTCTGAACAAAGGAGTGTGTGTGTGTGTGTATCAGAGTGACTATTTGAATTGACATACTCCACAACCAGTGTCCAGAGCTGTTCTGATTGAGCCATTTTTAATAGGGATAACTGTTGCAAGTTCATCAATATATGCATCTGCTCCTTGAGGGAACATGGTTCCTCCACCTGGAAATTTGAACACATTTCCCTGGAACTGTACCCAATTTTGAACTGCCTTCTCCACCGTCAAACTTTTGTATGGAACATTGGCATAGTAGGCATAATCACGGCTTTTGGGCCAAGGAAAAGGAGTCGTGTATCCTTTTGGGGCTGGAATAAGACAGTGTAATTTTTCCTCTTCAGCAGGACAATGCCTTTCCCTATATATCATATTTTCTCTTGGGAATCTCATTGCTCGATCTTGTTCTTGGCAAGGTGTATAATCAGTATATTTGCTATCACAGGGCTTGTAGACTTTTGCTTTTGGCTCAGAAGGGTCAACAATTGCCACATCATTGTGATGAGATTCAAAACTCAAATTGGGCAAAATAGTGCATTCTGTCAGCTTATTTACTTTCAAGGCCAAGCTGTCTCCCTTTCCGGACCCACTCTTTTGCCATGCTCCCAAAAGATAAAAGAAACAGCACAGGCCAATCACAGCAAATATTGACAATGGTCTTCGTGCTCTGTGGCTTGGCATGTTACTTTTTGAACCCATTAATTGGCTCGTTATAACCTATGGCAATGGACAGTGAAATTAGAGACAAAATAGTTACTGGTATAGAAGTGTATTATAATTGAGAAAGAAACTAAAAAAGAAACGTCCCAAATTCCTGTTAGCCTTAGCTAACAATTGACATTTTCTTTCTTTGATGCCAAATAACATATTAATACCATATGAACTCCTTGACAAAGTTTAATTTACAAGCTGAGATAGCTTGCATAACGAAATTTTATGGTACAACTTATAGCATAGGAATGCCTCATACTTCTCCATATAAATAGGGTAAAAAGGAATACAAACTTAAACTCACTTTCCATCACTTATTATTCATACATTGACAGTTTGACACTTAAATGAATTTTCAATTATAAGGCATATATAACGATAATAGTTAATTATATAACTATCAGTTTTATGAGTTTATCAACATGATATTTGGAATAACTTGAAGACAAATTTAATTCCTTTCCATCATCTACATACTAAGATATTTTTCTGTTTTACGAATGTAAAAATATGAAAAAGGACTTTGAATCTCTAGCATATGATTATTGATTTTTTACAGTGAGAGAAGAGCACTGCAAAAGCAGAATTTTTTTAGTCACTTGATCATTGCTTGATCTTAACAGAATCCAGATAGCTGCTTCTATATCTCACTCTTCTGTATTACACACTAGTACCATAGAAGCTCCTCTCAAAACCTATAACAAAGGCTAGAGCTGGTATTCGTAACCATCGCAACAAGCTTCATGCCAACAAGAATGCATCATGCAGCAAAACTTAAGCGGGAACAATATCACAAAGTAATAGACATCTCTCTTTCATGGATCTAATGAAGATCTACAACGACACCATCTAAAACATGCCAAAATTTATTTCCGAATTAGAAATTTTACATCGTAAACGCGAACTCGTGTTGAAATGAACAGCAAGATCACATCAACACAAAACTGACTCCATTAAGCCATAACAAAAACGGAACAGAAGTTGAAACAGTGAAACAACACATAGCTAGGCGAATGCCATGCTTAGAAACTTCAGCAAAAGAAGAGAAATGACAGGAAATCGAAAAAGCCAACCTAAAACAGACGTGTTCAGTATAACGAAGCTCCTTCTCCTTTCAGTTGTAGATCCCTCTCAGTAACTAGAATCAGTCACGAGCTCTGGTAAAAGCTAAGAGAGGGAGAGTGCAGAATAGAGATGTGAGTGACAGTTGGGAAATAATAGAATGAATGCTGAGACTTGAGAGAGAGGACTGGAGTGCAACGAAGTTGAGAATGGCCATTGACGCGTGTATTTGCATCCTTTGGCCCACATTTGACGCTTCGGCCGACAGGCAGGGTAATTCTAGCTTGTGAATCTTGATATTTCCAACTTTGTGTTTTTTTGGACAAATTGATATTTCCGAGTTGATTAACTGTTTATATATAAAATCTTACTCTTAATGATTGTTGTGAACTGTTGATTGTTGATATTGGCCAAAATCACTAGACCGAGTAATTAACTTGTAGAATCTTAAAAAAATACTCCTATGAGAAAAAATATTAATTTTAATCATATTTAATATGACATTCCATTATTTTTTATATTCATTTTACATTTTTATCTTTATTATTAAAAAATTATTAATTTTTTTATTTTTATTAGAAGATAGAGGTAAAAATTTATTAAATTTTAAAACAAAATCAATAAGATTAAAGTTTTTATTAGTTTTGGTGAAAGTAGGACTTGAGGAAGGAGTAAGTAGAGTATTTGTAACACTTAAAAAAAAAAAGATAAACATACCATTTAATGATTAAAATTTAATAGATAGAGATAAAAATATCCTAATAAATAGAGATATTATGGAAAATAAAATTTTAATATAGAATATAAGAGAGAATGGGACCTTATATTTAGAATCAAATCAAAGCCCCCAAATGGATCTTATATTTAAAATTAGAGGGAATACTTCTCTTAGTTTAAAATAAAAAATTTTATATACCAAATTTTGCATGTTTAAGGTACTTGTCTTATATATTATTTAGAGAAAAATTTATATATTCAATCTGCTTATTTTCAATTAAATTAATAATTTCTTGTTATTAATATTATTAACACATAAAATCCATTTATAATGATTTTATTAGATAAAAAATTATTAAATATATCAAGTTAACTACCTAAATCTTTTCTTGTTTAAATATAAGGCATGTTTTGTAAAATTCTATATTTCAATGTATAAGTCACTTCATGAAATTGTAAGAGTAATAATTAACTTCTCACCTAGACAACCTTTAAGAGTATATCAAAATTACTTACTTTCCATTTAACAAATAATCAATAATTAATTATGAGTAATGTTAATGAAGGACAAATTGGAAAAAACATTAAAATTTTAACTAACTATATATTTTTTATTTTGTGTTTTTTTTTTGGCCAAACGATTTGTGTGCTTCAGTTAAAAAAACTTGTATTCAAAACGGAGGTGGTACTTGGAATCCAGTTATTGGAACTCGAACGAACCAATTAGGGATGTCTAATTGCATTCCATCTATGGTGTTCACTGTTCACATGTGACATCGGCCTAATCCTCAAACTATCTGCAAAAATTGTCTAAATCGCGTTATTAAATATTAATAAATCATGAGTTATTTTTGCTCAAAAAAAGTCACGAGATGATTTGTTGGCGAGAAGCAATCTATCTCACCTTTCAAAAATTAGATTGAGCTAGTTGTTCGTATGTTATATGAATTTTTTTTTTTTAAAAAAAGCGAAAATGGTCTGACTGTATTAGATTAAAAATTAGATTGAGCTAGCTTAGGCTTCGTCTTTATTCATAAAAAAACGAAAATAATAATTAGGGATTCGATAAAAACATTAATAATAATTAAAAATTTTAAATTATTGAAATCTTAATAACAAATTAAGGTTCTTACTTGCAATAAATTATTTTTATTGATTGCCGTAAGATTTACAATATAACTTCGTAAACTCTCAATTAATACTATAAATATTTTCATATATATTTTATTAATTTTTTAAGTGATAGTAAAAAAGTACAAGTAATTAACTTGCGATTTATAATTGATTCTCGTAAATTTTCTACCATCCTTACACATAATCTTAAGTGTATTTTTTTAATTTTTTTAAACAATTTATTTATATACTAATAGCAAAAATCAAGGTTGACTTATAAATTTTCAGTTGACGTTACAAATATTCCTAAGCATCTTTTGTTTATTTTCCATGACTATAATTTATTATTAAAATTTTAATAATTTAAAGTCTGTAATTGTTATTAGTGTTCTTATGAGGTTTTCTAATTATCATTTTCCCTTAAAAAAAAACTAATTCAATCAGTTGTAAAAAAATATGATGTATATTAAATTTTTAAAATATATAGATTGAAAAGAAAAATTATCAAAATTCTTGCCCAAGAGAAAGAAAAAACATTAAAATCAAAGAGCTATAGATACTAGTGGTGGTTACTCGATCACAATCAGATTCTATAACAGGTAATTCCACAGCTCATCGAATATAGTCACCAATTGAAAAGATGACATTGCGAGTAACTTAAAAGCCCATAGGACAACAACGGCGCTCGGTAGCAGCAATCTAGTATTAAACGGAAGCTTCAATCCAAGAAAGACGTTTGAATAGAAGAAAATCCAACGCTTGCCGACATACCAGGTCCTGATCTGTTTACATATGCCTTAAAAATGTCTTCCCCGTCATTTTCTCCTCTCTTTCCTTTTGGGCCATGGCCATCACCATCCTTTTAGTTATTGTAAGTTCCATATTAGAACTATGCAGCTATACGCGATTGTACTGTTAATAACTTTTCAACAGGACAACAACATTAATAACTAACGAATAATGTGACTTTATATTATCTCATATTACACATTATTGATTTTGCAAAATCATTTGGGCTCAAAATATCTATCCTCTTCACTGACAGCATGAACACAGCTCTAAGCCATCATCAAATCAGTCATTTTTGTGCAATATGTAAAGATCCAATAATCACGCGTCTTGCACTTTTTTTGTTGAAGTGGACGCAAGCGTGTACATTACTGGTACAAAATTTTGACTTGTCAAAAGAGGGCAGCAATCATACACCTATATCCATGCTTGATACACACTATACTGACTCTAAGAAGAAAAATTCTTTGACTCGAAAGAACAAATATTAATTAAATATATGTTGACATCACACTACCACTTCCTCAATAAACAGAAGATCTACCGGCCTCGAGGACCCGTCGGCTTCACATCCCAGAGTTTAAAACACGTCCAACGTTTCTACAACTTGTGCACAGCAAATCAGCAGAAAAGATAAAAGCAAAATTGAAACGTCCCAATCATTGTGATGAAGAAAATATATAAACTTGGGTAAGAGAGCAATTTAAGTATATAGTTATGGATGTTTAGGATTCTAAATTCATTTTCATGTAATATTCTCTTTAGCTTTTAAAAATGATACAATCCAACCTATTATTGATAAAAGTTAACTTTAACTGTTAGTTAATTAAAAAATGATTTCAGAAATTATAAAACAAAAAAGGGCCGATAAAATTTTCTTGATCCCTTTTGTAATTTTTTGAATCTCTCTGTAATTTTTGGCCTTTTTCTATAATTTTTAAGGTCATTTTCTGTCATTTTTTGATCAATTAACGGTCAAAGTTAACTTTTATTAATGATAGTGGTCAGATTGCATTATTTTCAAATGTTGAAGAGAAATATTGCACCAAAAATAAGTGTAGAATCCCAAACACTTCTAAACTTATAGTTTAAAGACCAATTTGCTCTTTTACCCTATAATCTTCAACGTATGGTGCTATTGCACATTTTATGTCCAGTTCCAAGATAAATATGTAACAACTACGGCACTTTCCAGGCCATGGAGCACAATCATTTCCATGCTACCGGGACCAAGGTAAAAACCTACATATTAGTTCAGTAATGGTAAGTTTGGGGTAGCCTGCTGCGTGCAGGCTTTGAAATTGCATGGTAGCGTATGTATTCTAACTGAATTTACGTTGTCCCAAAATAACGTAAGTAGACTTTTTCTTAAAGAAAAGGAAAAATATGCAAGATGACAAGATAACACTTTGAGAATCTGCAAGCACAAAAAAGTCATAAAGAGAATTACGTTGAAGTCCTATACAAAAAAATTAATTACGATAAGGTCTATTAACAATTGAACAAAGTTCATTGACTTATATGTAATTTTCCCAAAGTCATAGGGGTTTAGCATGCCCATATGACAACCAAATGTGATCAGAATACTGAAATTAGAGGAACTAAAACTAAAGGTCGATGATGAGAAAACAAATGAAATGCACTGATATTGAAAAATGTCAACAGAAAAAAAAATGCAAACGATTGCCACATATGTTGCCCCTCGGTGCTAAAAACATAAAACAAGATTCTGAACCTAGCATCCATAAAACATTGAAGAAATCAATCAAGGGAGTTGACAAGGGGGAAAACTAAGGATTGCACATGGATGAAATCACCGGAGAGCATAGCTTACCCACCTTTCTCTATACAAACAAGGTAGAACTAGCCTTCGGCTGATATACAAGTTGTTTCAGCCAGCATAGTTGAAACTTGAGTAATTATTCAAAGAAGACCTTGTGTCAAAAAAGTAGTTCCTCAGCCTCTGCATCAATTTGACACCACAACAATCATTTCAACTAAATCAAGAAACTGGTAAAATTAAAGCATATGCTAAAAACAATAACACTAACCAGTCTTTGGAATGGGACATTGTTGGGAACTTAGATCTGCACCTTCACTGACCTTCATTTTGCTTGCATCTATTTTTCTCTTCATCTTTGAAGAGCTTAGAGAGCCTTCAACTATAAAGCATAGAGGAAAAAGTACAATTAGTTATACTCAAGAAAAAAATTTCTCCATCCTGAAATGGTCTGGATACAATAACAGCCATGAACATGTGGCTTGCACAAGCATCAAAATGCTAGATACATCAATTATGACCTCAGAAGCCACGGCTAGTTTAAAAGATTGATCTAGATAGTCCTTCAGCCATCAAAAAGATAACACCAGATTCATTGATCTTTATAATGGAAGGAATTTATCTTGTCTAACAGGTTCAAGCGGATCTAACCATGACCATATTACTAGTGATCTGAATTGTGGAAGCAACTTAATGAAAACCCTTCAATTATGACATCTTCTTTGGAATATATTGACGAGTCAAAAGTTCAACATAATTGGTAAGTACCTTGCCATTCCCATACCACTTTGGATTCGCCCTTCACCAGCTTCGGATAGCGATCTACTCGAGAATCCTCTTGAACCAATTCTTCCACCTGTGACCCAAAGCAAAGGCATTACAAAAGCCTAAAACAATGATTCATCAAGTTAGCAGTAAACATGGATTAAAAAACTGGACTGGACTGACTGGGAACCAGCTCATGGTCCAATCCTGGAGAACCCCAAGAACCAGCCTTAAAAGGGAACCAGTTAAAGACCAGCTAAACCGGATCAGTTCCAGTTATAAAAACTGGACCAAATTTTGAATTAAAAAAAAAAAACAGAAAAAAAAAAGAACAACAACAACAACAACAACAACAACAACAAGCCTTTATCCCACTAGGTGGGGTCGGCTACATGGATTGCAAGACGCCATTGTGCTCTATCATTTATTAAGCTTTTAGAAATATTATTAATTAAGAGATCACGTTCAACAACTTCCAAGAGTGTTCTCTTAGGCCTTCCTCTACCTCTCTTAATCGGACTCAAAGTTATATGTTCCACTCTTCTCACTGGTGCCTCCCTTGGTCTTCTTTGTACATGCCCAAACCATCTCAACCGATTTTCTACCATTTTTTCCTCAATAGGTGCCACCCTCACTTTTTCACGTATGTGCTCATTTCGAATTTTATCTTTACGTGTATGTCCGCACATCCATCGTAACATTCTCATCTCTGCTACTCCAACTTTATGCTCTTGCTGTCCCGTTAGAGCCCAGCATTCACTACTATATAACATTGCCGGTCTGATAGCAGTACGATAAAACTTTCCTTTAAGTTTATTAGGCACCTTACGGTCACAAATAACTCCTTTAGCTTTTCTCCAATTAAACCACCCAGCTTGAATTCTATGTGAAATATCTCCACTGATTTCGCCATCATTTTGGATAATGGCTCCCAAATATCTAAACTTTTCCACTTGAGGTATAATTTGATCTCCCAATTTTACTTCCAAATTATTTTCGAATAGTCCTTTATCAAATTTACAATATAAATATTCCGTCTTACTTCTACTCAGACGAAAACCTTTCGACTCCAATGTCCTCCTCCATAACTCAAGTTTGCAATTAACCTCTTCTCTTGTCTCTGCTATAAGAACTATATCATCCGCGAAGAGCATACATTTCGGGATTTCCTCTTGAATATGTTCCGTCAAAACATTTAAAATCAAGTTGAACAAATAAGGACTCAGAGATGATCCCTGATGTAGCCCAATCTTTATAGGAAAATCCTTTGTTTGACCACTAGGCGTTCTTATACTAGTTTTTACCCCCTCATACATATCTTGTATGGCTTTAATATAAGCAATCCGTACTCCCTTTTTTTCCAACGCTTTCCAAAGCACTTCTCTTGGTATACGGTCATAAGCTTTTTCCAAATCAATAAAAACCATGTGTAGATCTTTATCTTTACAACGATACTTTTCCATTAATCCCCTTAGTAGATAAATCGCCTCTGTAGTTGATCTACCTGGCATAAAACCAAATTGATTCTCAGAAATACTTGTCTCCAATCTCAACCTATGCTCAATTACTTTCTCCCACAATTTCATTGTGTGGCTAGAAAAAAATTGGGGCAAGAGTTGGGGCAAGAGTTGCAATTTTTACAAAAAAATAACTCAACCCATCACAGGCCACTCACTCCCCTGCAGCTTGCCCTATTTTATACTCTCATGTTACAATGTGGGACTTCTTTTATCCTAGTTATTGAATCTTTAGTTCTTTTTCTGTTTTTTTCCCTTCAACTTTGTTGAATTATTTTATTTAAACCTTGCATCATCTTTTAAATGTTAGTAAATATGTCTAATCTCTGTACTTCACATTATTCATCTATACTTTTGTTTTAAACTTATAATTCTTAATTTAGTCTAAATAAGAATCCTAAAAGTGCTTCATGCTTTCTTAGTTTTTAAAATAAAGAAATGTTTGCTTTTAAAATTTGGCAAAAGTGCACCTTTATCTTCTAATTTTGTATAAAGTTTCAGTTTGGTTTTTATTTTATAAAGTAACTTTTTAGTCTTCTAACTTTAACACTGTAGTCTCAAATGATGATTTTATGTGCCAACCTTAGTTACTTAAATTTAATATATTAACATGTGAAAATATTTTCTCAATATTAAAAGTCCAATGTCAGCAATTTTTGTTAACGAAATTGATGGTGTTACGGTTATAAGATTGAAAAGACATTTTATAAAATTAAGGGCCCAAAAATGAAATCTTGTTAGAAGTTAAAGGATCAAAAGTGTACTTTTTCCTTAAAATTAACCAAGTTTAGAGTGATTTTGAACATCCAAGACGAACTTCTTTGCTAAATTAAAGAGAAGATAATCTTTCACCTTCTTGCTTTTCAATTTTATTGCTCCATTAATCTTGTAATATTTTATAAAAATTTCATTTCCAATGTAAAATGTAACATCCAATTTAAACAATATATAAAAATGAATCATAAATGGTTCAACCACAATCGAACTATTGACCCTTGAAGTAGTGTCTCATCTGGTTCAATGGCCAGTCTAGTTTTTTAAAACCTTGGTAATAAAAATTCATTCACATGTTCATCTCATTCAGCTGTAATTAAAGGTCAACAGCTATTGAATGGCATGGCCCAACGCAGCCATGAACATCAGCTCTTCAAATATCTAGGTTAAAACTTGACCAGATATTTTGTTTTAAAGTTTTGCATCCTTAATCAATTAATAAGCATAATGACAAAAAACTGAAAAGCCCCAACTCTGGAATGTTTAAAGGGACATACCGCACCAAAGCATATCTCAATCTTGGTGGAAGCTTCAAGATCGGAAGAAATATGATTTTCTAATTGAAGATTAATAATAAGATGCAGAGGAGCAGAAAAATTTGAAAAAACAGGCAGTTAGAACAAGAAAAGATTATATCCAAATACCATAGTGTGGGGGAAACTACTGCAAACAGAAGAACTTGAAGACAAATATATCTACAAGTTGCTTCAATATGCTCATATCAATTATTAGGATGATAACAGAATAATCAAGTGCAGCTCATTTCATTATAACTCCAACTACCTTTTTCCCAAACAAAGGGTCCTTTCGCTCTCTTGGCAAAAGTAGGTGATCTCGTAGTCTAGAGGCAACAATCCAAGGCTCACATTCACCATTAACATTCTTTGACATCACTGCATTCTCTTCGAGTATTTCACATACCTATTTCACAGCAACAAAGGACTGTTATTTTTTATGGGCAATTGAAGTGAATACAGGAGTAGAATCAGAGTAAAGTCACAATTATCAGCTATACAATATTAAATTTTTAGGTCAATCAACATGATAGGGAAATTGATGTGGATATTGTGCATAGGATATAAGCTGAATGGTTTAATTGAAAAAAGGATAAAGGAAGTTATTTACAATCATAAGGTACCTAATAAATTTAAAAAAAGTTTTATCGAACTACTATAAGATTAGCTATTATATGGTAGTGAATGTTAAGCTTAATGGGACAATAAGAGTATAAAGTTAGAGTAGCAAAGATGAAAATGTTGAGATGGATGTGCAGACATATATGTAAATATAAAATTCGAAATGAGCACATATGAGAAAAAGTAACGTAACATCTATTGAAGGAAAACGGTGGAAAATTGTTTGAGACGGTTTGGACATATATAAAGAAGACTGCAGGGGCACCAATGAGGAGAATGAAACAGATAACTTTGAATCCTATTAAGAGAGGTAAAGGAAGACCACAGAGAACACTTTTAAAAGTTGTTGATCAACAACTCTTAAGTAAAAACATTTTAAAAGCACGGTAAATGACAAAGCACAATGGCGTCGTACAATCCATATAATTGACCCTATCTAGTGGGAGAAGGCTTGTTATTGCCGTATATAGACTTCAATTGAACAAAGTTGGGGACACTTTTTTTTTAAAAAAAAAAAGAAACAAAAGAAGAAGAAATGACACTTTTACACTTATCTTATAAGCTACAGAAGTATAATGCATATCCAATAATGTATGGTGGGGACATGTATCCCATGCTCACCAATGGACAACAATACCCCTATAATTGTTGTACCATCAACAATAACATGTGGCGTGAGTATTCAGTTAATGTGCTTTGAAACAATTTCAATGAAGGGACTTGCTCATCACACAAAATGGCCATGGCAATATATTTATTCATGAAGCATGTCTATGAACATTCTTTCACTACCCATCATAGATATCTTTCAGAACCAGTATATCATTTAAAGTGATCTATCTAAGGAACTCTACTCAACAGATAGACAATGTTTGATAAAATATCAGATTATCACATAACAAAATCTAGGCTAGAGCACGCCAAAAATAAAACAACAATGTTCAGCATTATGGTTGTAAAGCTCTTCAACTCTTCTTGACATGCATAGTTTAAGATAGATTTTCCAGATGAAGAATGTGCATCCAACAAGCTGTTTGATCCCAACATAGTTAATAAGTCTAATCATATTAAAAACAGAACATACGCATTAAAGAATGTCTTTAAGACTGGAGTACCATGGCACAAATTGGTAATACAGCTAGAATGTGCTGGGAGACCCACTGATGAATGCGACAAGCATATGGCTTGTATGCTCCACCAATAAGTCTGGACATTTAAACTCCTTCCTATATGAAACAGGAGGATATCAAATACCTGGAGTCTCAGTAAACACATGACAAAAAGAAGAGGTCACCAAACCGATCCTTGGAGATGGTAAGAGATATTGATATTACCCAAGAGATTGTCCTCATCTCCACTAACTTAGCCATTGTCTCAATTGCCCTTTGTTTCGTATAATTATAAAGTGCATTTCCAGAAGAACATTTTCCATTGGCTCAAAATTTATCAAAAAGTTTTCCATATTTCATCCTCTTGAACCTGAAATGGGTTTTGTGTTTACACATGAGAATTCAGAACCTCAATGAAAAATGCGCTAGTCAAATTGCATTAGCATTAGAGAATGATATTGATATGGATACAATACACTGCACAATCAGAGGGTTAAAACTTTTAAAAGTGTCAACAGACCCAAACTGATCCGACTCCATAGCACAAATACTGAGCATAATCTTCACATAGGCTACATTTTACTCTGTCCGACTGTGATAACATCATACAAAGAACAGCAAGTCAGACTTACATGCATAAAATTCAAAGATAAAATGGGAAAAAAAAAGCAAAGAAAAAGGCAGCACTCATTCTTCAGTATCAGTAAACAAGAATAAATAAAATTCAAAGAACATACAATTTTTTTAGCTGATTTATTAATATCTCCATCTTCTACACACAACTTCCCATGCTTTCGGTAGCCCTGGAGACATTCCAATTTGCCATCGTAACATGCTCCATTACTTGGACAAGGTTCACAATCATCTGCAATAGTTTGCAGTCAAAAGAAATTAATGTCTATACAGGAAACAAATATTAAATCCACAACTATAGCTTGACCCTATGACATTTTAACAACATCATAAAGCGGCGAATACACTCACAAGAAAACTATTGAGGTAACATGAAGCGTGGAAAAAACTCCCTGAGGTGCTCGCATCAATAAGACATCTATGTCAGACCAAAATGAATGAAACAACAATATGATGCTTAAAATTCTAAAAGTCAACATCAAATATATATTAAATGGAATACTGACACATGATTGTGTGCAATTTCTATTCAAAGAACTGAAGGGAAGAAAACAGGTCAATTATGTATTTGAACAAGTGATAAACTTTGTTGGGGATAACACTGAAGTGTATTGGATCACTGATTTATAGGGGAAAAATGTATAGGAAAAAGAAGTTCCAAAGACATAAGGATTACTTGTTAGCCATCCAAGTGCAATTCATTTTTACACTGCATAAAGTTATAGTCACATTCAGATGTCTCAAACTCGCTCAGATTACAGCTGTAGCACCAAATGTGGCGATTTGGCTTGTTGACTAGTAAATAGCAATGATATTTAGTAAAAAAAAAAAATCTAGCCACAGTTTTTCTACGATTGAAAGCCAAACGCAACACCTATTGCTATGTGCAGGCAATCAAGCCTAGTTATTTTTCACATCCAAAATATGATGGACAGGAACTTACAGAAAGGAGAATGTGCGTGTGCAATATCTATTGGACATTGATACTCCAAATTACATATGCAAACAAATGCAAATCCCCATCGTGTCAGTGTCCATTTTCCCGGTATCCAAGTTTGCGACCCGACGACAATCAGATTCAAACCATAGCATAGGAAATGCTTTCTTATACTAGAAAGAATCAGATGAGGGCGACGCACCTCGAACTTCAGGTTCACACTAAACCATAAAGACATTGATTCTATCACAAAAATGAGAGGCAAAGCATCATTCTGAAATTTCCTAGATAGAAAGTAAATAAAACCGGAATTAAGCACATAAGTGATCTCCAGAATAATAGAAGTAATGCAATGAAAGTCAGTATTATTGCCCCTTCTCTTATTCACGATCCCCTACGTACCTATTAAACAGTCATGCTAACAAAATAATTTCATTGGAAGAAGCTCTCACCGGAAAATGAATCCGGAAAGTCTACGTTGCTATCGCAAAAGGGCTTGGTGGAGGGATTAATAAAAGATGTCAAGAAGAGATTGCATGTCCAAGCAACTGCTGATGCGAATGCAAGGACGACGATGAGCCTGAGGAACTCGTGCTTCGAGGGAAAGAAATCAGGAGGGGGTTCTATGAACGATTTCAAAGAAGGAGAAGAATTGTGAGAATGATTTGAAGTTTTGGAATGGGACTTGGGTTTTGCGCGCTTCATTTGGAAGAGATCAGAGTGATGTGTCCGGCCGAGCGGGATGCTCAGACCGCCTTTTACGGCACCCTTGTTTGCTGCTGTTATTTCCGTCTCTTTTTAAGCCCTTTCTAACTTATTTTCGCTTCCTTTGGGAAAAATATAAAGAATTTAATATCAAACAAAAATTAAAATATTAAATATTATTGCAAGACTTAGGAACAGATTGATTTTCTTTTTATTTTTTAAACTTATCAATTAGTGATTTTTTTAATTAATATGAATAGATATTTATTAATTAATTAATGACTATTTACTAAGATATGGTCTACACCAATGATTTTAAAGCCGGACTGGACCGGACGGTCGGACCGGTCCGACCGTTGGCCGGTCCACATTCCGGCTCGGCCAGAAGGGAAAAACCGTGTGAGAGGTTGAGCCGGGTTGAGCCGACCAAACTGTCAGTTAGGCCGCGAACCGGAGTTGGGCCGCAAACCGGGTCCGGTTTTTAAAAGCCGGACGGTTCTATTTTTTTTGGCCCCATATATTTTAGAAAGAATGCAGAACAAACCACAGAGTCGCAGACAAAGGGATACCGGCACCGCACGCACGCTCAGCTCTTAGATTGTAGCTCGCAAGTTAGTCACGGTTTCAGATCTCTCGTCTCTTTGAGCTACAAAGTCACAGTTCGGTACCGATTTTTTGGCTTCTTGTTTAGACTTTCAGATCACTTTCACGATCGCCGCATCTGGTTTGGCTTCTTGTTTCAGTTCTCGATTTCATGGTTTCAATTCAGAGCTGCGAACTGCGAAGTCACGGACTCACGGTCGGCGCATTTGGTAAATTTCTGATTTGGGATTTGATTGAGGTTTCTGTGCTGACTGCTGAGTACTTTTCTTTAATTTTTATCTATTTATTTTGTTTCTCCATTTTTGATTATTTGCGGTTTTGTGAGTGTGTCTGTGTGTGCATTGACTTCTTAAGGATTGAAAGAGATTTAACAGGAATTTCCAGTATTATGGAAGCTGAAGAGATTGAAAGAGTTGGAAGATTTCGTTTTGTATCGAAATTGATTTTATCTGCTATTTTTTGGGCTCTCACGGGATGTTTTTCCATAGGTAATGAAAGCTGTTTTCTTCTTCAACTTCGATTTACATGTGGTCTAAGTGAATTGAATTATCCTTCGCTTATAATCTTTCTCTTGGTTACTTCGGCTTCTTAAAAAAAAATTAAAGACCCCCCATTTCATTTTCTCTTGGTTTCTATATAATTCTTGACCCTTGCTGTTATCAATTGGAAAACCGGGAGTAACTTGGATTGAAACTGGATTGATT